TACTGATTCCTTTATCATTTCATCTCAATTTTTGAGAAGGGGGGGGGGGGGGGGGTTGGATAGTATCAAATAACTTCTCTTACCCTCGATGGTGGAAGAAGTGTCAGACTCTTACTGATTTAAAACCTTGTCGTTGAGTGAGAAGGCATTTGATAATTTTGCTTCTCAAAATATGTAACTACTAGCTACTCTCTTTTTCACCCACCGCTCGGTTCCATTTAATCGTAGCGTGATGTTTTATAGCCTATAGCACTCAGGAACATTGTAGCTATCTAACAGTGAAAGAATTTTGACAATCCGACCAGCGGTTCCAAAGATTACACCCTACATACAGACTTACAAATTTTACCTCTTTATAATATTCGTATAGATGTATGAATGTTTGTCTGTACGTCTGTCTGTCTGTCTCTATGTTTGTGTATATGTTACAGAAGTATGTGAAGCGTAAATATTATAAAGTTAGGTATACCCAAAGTGGTTTGCCGTCGAGTTTGAAATGATGCAATTCCGAGACGTCAGTATGACGCCGTTTTAAGGACGATAGCGTCAGCATTAAAATTGTGCAGAACATTTAATTATATGTATTTTGTAGTTGAGTGTACCTATTAAGATGCTTTGCGAATTTTGTCTTTTGTCAATCCTAGTACGAGTTATATTACTAATTGGATACAGCCACGTATAACGGTATTTTGATAAAATGTAGCCTGTGTCCTATTCCGGAGTGTATCCGCTTGTATGTATATATAAGCTTGGCTCTCCCACACTTATCCGAGTAACAAATATCCAAACTTCCTAACTTTCGTATTTGTAATGTTAGTACAGTAAAAGTACAGTTAAATCGCCAACTGCCTTGAGCAAGCTTGGTGATTAATGCTCAAACCTTCACCGCGTGAGAAGGTTTGAGCATTAATCACCGCGTTGCTCAGCAGTGGGCACTTATAGACTGATGATGATGATGATTATGTGAGGCCGTGGTATCACTCCAGACCAATGCATTCGCGCCAAACTTAGCTTAGCTCTCTCAACCTCGATCACAATACTTAATATTTAATTAAACATTAAAATAAAATCCGTTTTGATACCAAACTGTTTTGCTACCATTACCCGTCTTGTTTAAAAGATGGTCATAATTATATTTTCTTTAGAATTGCATAAACACGTAAAACATATTAGCTTTTTCCGGTTAACTTATTGCAGTTAAAGAATGCATCATCGCCGTGTGAGTGAGGTTCCCGTAGGCCCAATCCTTCCCCTCCCCCAATCCCTCCTCAGTGTCTAAATCTCTGAAAATCTAGTTACCAAGAGGACAATAACAGCCTTCACACAGCGGAAGACAACGCTGTGGTTGTTTCACGCCGGTATTCTGTGAGGCCGTGGTATCACTCCGGTCGAGCCGACCCATTCGTGCCGAAGCATGGTTTTACCAAACGATGATTTTCGGGTTTGGAAAAATGTAAATACATTTGTTTTTTTTAATGACTTTTGATTGCATGGTTGGCGCAGTGGCTAGGCAATTGGCTGCTGTGCAAAGTGTCGCGGTTCGATTCCCGCACGGAACTACACTTTGTGTGATTCACAAGTTGTTTTTCCGGGTACTGGGTGTGATGTGCATGTGAAATTGTATGTTTGTAAACCCACCCACGACACAAGAGAAAATACAAAGTGGGTAACATTAAAAAAATATCTCGATAATTGCATATGTCTAATTGTGTCTTTGAACACTCGCCCCCTATTGGGGGGCTCTATACATAGCCGGTGGAAAGTGGGGGTTAAATTGTATACATGCATCTCTGCTTGCCCCCTTTTGGTATTAAATCCGTGATGTTATTTAGTAAACAAGTAGCTGTAATATAATTCTCATTATAAACAAGAACGCCTTGGCATTGTTTTAATAAGGATTTAATTAAAATAATCATCAACTAAAATACTAATATTAAGACTTGTAGTGACGGCAGAGTGTAATACATTTTATACACCACCGTTACTCTTTCTGCGGGTACCACATACCCATACTAAAATTTTACAAATTTGTCGGATACTTTTCACACAGTATCTGTCAAATATGTAGATAATAGTAGTGAAGTTACCGGAGGCCCAATCCTTCCTCTCCCCCCCATACATCCCTAATCCGGGGAGGCACTCCCCTTTTATTTACGGGATTGGAGATAATGGCAATCTTAATTGAGTATGTTTTTAGGTGTTAAGGGTGGCAAATAAATGAGCTGACCTGATGGTAAGCAAACGGCACCGCCCTTGGATACCTGCAAAACAGCGCGTTGCCGGCTTTTCGACCTTTTGTTATACTTCCAAACTAATATTATAAATGCGAAAGTAACTCTGTCTGTCTGTCTGTCTTTTCTTCACGCCTAAACTACTTAACCAATTTCTGTAAAATTTGGTACAGACATAGTTTGGAACTCGAGAAAGGACATAGGTTAGTTTTTATTCCAAAAATCTGCAGAAAGTCACTATTACACGCGAACAGAGTCGCGGACAAAAGCTAGTCTATACTCATATTATAAAGAGGTAAAATTTGTAAGTTTGTATGTAGGGGGTAATCTTTAGAACCGCTGGTCGGTTTGCCAAAATTCTTTCACTGATAGATAGCTACAATGTTCCTGTGTGCTATAGACTATAAAACATCACGCTACGATCAAATGGAGCCGAGCAGCGGGTGAAACCGCGCAAGAGTAGCTAGTAACTTAACAAAAATCAAAGTCACAATCACGTCGATGTTTCATAGCTACTCGTCACACAAATAAGGCAAAACTTCTTAAGAATGCGTACGAATAAATATTATTCGAATTCTACGCATGTTAGACACAAATGTCAAGGATTTAAACATAATGCCACAACCGAAATACGAACCCGGATCTTCCCATTAATAAATCATCCATAATTTACATCTGTTTGTTTGTCCGTCGACGGTTAACTACTAAACTGATGGATTCGTTTTGATAGAACGCGTCGAATTCTTTGCTTTGACAAAAGATCGCTAATTGATTGGTATTTTTGTTATTTAATTGGATGGAAGACTGGTTTTTTGATATACGCTTTATCGTATATTAGTTAAGTTGTGTCTGTTTGTCTGTCTGTCTGTCCCAAGTAACTCTTTTCCCTATATCTACTTAAGCAATCTTCTTGTATTTTTGTATGCATATAGTTGGGAGTATGGAAAAGGCCATTTGAAAACGCGAGCAAAGCCACGGGCAAAACCTAGTTCGCTTATGACTCGGAAACTTCTGAATGAATTTTTGTCAGATTTTGATCTATGGATATTCAAAATTCCTTATCTTTGGCTAGTTTGTATTAAAGGGCTTTGATTACGTTACGTATAAAAAGTAGCCTATATGTTATTCCAGATTATAATCTATTTCTTTGGCGTGATTCATTAAGATACGTTCAGTAGTTTTTGCTTGAAAGTTTAACATACGCATAAACTTGTTTTCATTCATCACTACATAGTATAAAACAAAGTCGCTTTCTCTGCCCCTATATCTCTATGTACGCTTAAATCTTTAAAACTAAACAACGTATTTTGATAAGTTTTTTATCATAGACTAGCTACTCTCACGCGGTTACACCCGCTGCTCGGCTCCATTTGATCGTAGCGTGATGTTTTATAGCCTGTAGCACTCAGGAACATTGTAGTTATCTATCAGTGAAAGAATTTTGGCAATCCGACCAGCGGTTCCAAAGATTACCCCCTACATATAAACTTACAAAACTCTTAATAATATTAGTATAGACAGAGTGCTTGAAGAGGAAGGTTTATATGTATAATAACATCGATTAAATAGTGGAGAAATTTTGCATATATAACACATAACTATCAGTAGGGTGTTGGTACAATTATACTATGGATATTGAATGTCATAAAACAAAGAAATTAATCAAATAAAAGCTACTTGTCCTTGACTAAACTGTCAAGTACTTCTTGAATAGTTGATAATGATGACCTTTAGACGAAAAACATCCATTTATTAAAGTGATATTTGACCTTAAGACTATACAAGCTATTGACTGCGGATTCGATTGGATTAATATATACCTATAATAGGTCTTTACCTATGAAATTGCCGTTCTGCAGTACTGGCCATTTCAAAGCAAAATAGTTTTTGTTAGGCTAAGGCTGATTAATTTTGTTATAAAAACTAGGGATTATTTTTCCAAAATTCCATTTGTTTATTGATTAGTGTTACATTTTCATCGCATTTGAAATCAAAAAATACATGTAGCTACTTTCGAGAGGTTTTACCCGCTGCTCGGCTCAATTATATTGTAGCGTGATGTTTTATAGAACATTATAGCTAGGTATCTATCAGTGAAAGAATTTTGGCAATCCGACCAGCGGTTTCAAAGATTACCCCCAACATACAAACTTACAAATTTTACCTCTTCATAATATTAGTATAGACTAGCGAACGCTTCGCACGTGTGCAACGTTGATACTAAATATCTCCACTATTTAATGGATATTATAATACATATAAACCTTCCTCTTCAATCACTCTATCTATTAAAAACAACGCATCAAAATCCGTTGCGTAGTTTTAAAGGTTTAAGCATACATAAGGATATAGGGACAGAGAAACGATTTTGTTTTGTACTATGTAGTGAAGGTCTGGCTTTTAGCCAATATCTCGTCTGATGGTAAGCAATGATGCGGTTTAAAAATGGAGCACAACTACCCATGATATTAAAATTCAAAATACGATTTGTATTTTTTTTGTTTTAAACTAGCATTAGGCTAGGCAGACAAGTATATAAATCACCTGATGGTAAGCAAACAGCATCTTGACACCATACTCGGATCACCAGAAGTATCACATGCTAGCTTTTTAAGAAGGAACAATTCCACTCCTGTCCTAAAGGTAGGTAAGGTCTGAAGAAGAACCCTAGCATTAGCCGTGGTCTTTTGAAGACGTACAGAAGTGCAAGAACTACTTTACTTCAAAAGACCACAAGTATTTCTTTTCTAGTTTGAAAAAGACACTTACCTGGGTGTTAGCTTGGAGAAGACCGCCACCGTTGGTGTTGACAACTCCGTTGTTGCATTGAGACTTCGACACACACACGTATCCTTGTCCAGCACAGGTCTGCTGCAGGTCACCACCAGAATTATCGTGGGCATTCACATTTCCAGTGCTCTGGAAGATCTCATCAATGTTCTGTTGAGTCTGCTGAGCAAAGTCGAATTCGTTCTTCTGAGAGTTCTGGATCAAGTTCACGTTGGCGCCAGAGGAAGCCGCGAAGGGTGATGGAGAGGAACCAGTGTATCCTGATCCAAATTTGCTGCCAGAGCTGAACGCGTTGTAACCGCTTTGACCAGCTCCGCTTTGTCCAGCTCCGAAGCTACCCTGAGCACTGCCGAAAGAGCTCTGTCCACCAAAACCAGTAGCACCTCCACTTAAGAAAGGATTCTTGCTAATGTCGATCTCTTTGGTCGAAGATGATGATTCGAATGATTGGCTTCCAGCGAAGTTGCCACCAGCTCCAGTGAAGCCAGCACCACCAGCCAATTTAGAGAAACCGCCGTTCAAGAATGGGTTGGCTCCCAAATCAACGCCACCAGCACCAGCGTTGCTTGAGCTGGTAAAACTGGATGATGACTTGCTGAATTTCTCGAAGGAACCGCCTGCGTTTTTGAATGGAGAGTCTTGTTGGTTCATCCACCAGAAAGGTCCACCGTTGGCTACGCCACCTTCGAAAACGCTGTTTCCAGCTGCTTGGAACTGGAATTCGTTGGCTGAGTCAGCATTGGCTGCAGCCTTGAACGCTTGAAGGTTTCCGAACTTCTCGATGATTTTACCATCCTTTATTTTGACTCCAGCGCATCCTTTTTCTGAAGAGCACTCTTCAAAAGAGGATTGAGTGTGTACTTCAGCATTCGGGAGGGTTTTGAGGGAGGCTAGGAGTTCTTTGGGAGATTTCAGGCTGTGGGTGCCGGTGCATGCTGTGCATCGTTCTTTTCTTGCCTGTGGCTCGCTAGCTTCCGCCTCCACAACTGGTTCGTGACTTTGAGGCAGCTCTTTCACTTCTTCTATGTTTTCTGGATGGGCGTTTGCCGCGATCACCAGTATGGCTACCACTATAGGGAATAGTGGCTTCATGGTTCTGTAACAAAAAGACAGAAATTGTTATTCTACTATTCATTTATTTTGTGCAAAAGATTTAACTTCTGTAGGGAACTTAGAGGATGGTATGCGCGCTTTTAGAAGTATGTATGGAAAAGTCACGTCGTAATGATTTTAAATTATCATTATAATCACCTAGCTTTACTGACGAACAGACTGACAGACTATTTTGAAGTTTCAAAAGTACCTATTTATTGATTAGTTGGAATAAATGATTTTGATTTTGATTTTGACTTTGACTTTGATATCAACATCCGGAAGACGTCCACGACTGGACAAAGGCATTTCCTTAATAATTTTCAATACCAAATCTTATAACATTGTCAATTTGGACGAAAAACAGATAAGCAGCGGGGCTCATATACTCTGTAAGACCCTTTAAAACCAGTTATGTTAAAAGTCCCAAGTAAAAGGTAGCAAATAAAATGCTTTAGCAAAAAAAAAAACTAGAAAACCCACTAACAATTTCGCCGGACACGGCAACTTAGTCTGACTCATAGACTTAAAAATCAAATACACAAATAATTCACACATTCCAAAGACCAAAATCGATATCTATGACACATAAGGACTTACAAATAAATCGTAAATTTAATACAGTACCGACATTCCGATCAAATTGTCACCGAATCCAAGATGGCTGCCTAGCAACTAACTATAAATATTTGCATTGAAATTGCTTTATTTTAAACGCTATTTATGTCTGTGTCTGTGAGATCACTTCGCGTTAAATCAAGTCCGTCTTTTATTATATCCTCATAATCATCAGCCTATAAGAGCCCACTGCTGAGCAAAGGCCTCTTCTCACACGGAGAATGTTTGAGCATTAACCACCACGCTTGCTCAATGCGGGTTGGCGATTTCAAACTTGAAGTTACAAATATCATATCCTGGTTCTTTTATGTACGTCGGCAAACGAGCAGACGGATTACCTGATGGTAAGCAATCAGCGCCGCCCATGGACACCCGCAACAACAGAGGAGTTACGACGACGGTTGGTTTTTAAGTAGTTTTGAAAAGAGGTTCCGTATTTGTTTTCTTTATAACAAAAACTAGCTTTTCCATACGACCTCTTTCGCGTGAAATAGTGACTTCCTGCAGATTTTTGGTATAAAAACTATCCTATGTCCTTTCTCGAGTTCCAAACTATGTCTGTACCAAATTTCACAGAAACCGGTTCAGTAGTTAAGGCGTGAAGAAAAGACCGATAGACAGAGTTACTTTCGCATTTACAATATAAGTTTGGATTAGAAATTAAAAAAAACTTTAAGCATTTAATTATTATTTCATTTGATGATTAATTAATTACATAATTTTATTATCGGCAAAATAAAATAATCTCTATCTACTATTTAAAGCTTAGTTAATTTAAACTTAATGACGCGATAACTATATTCGATTTGAATAGAAAATTATATAAATCAAAATATTTGACCTTTATACTACCTATACATAATAATATTTTGATTATGCACACAAGATAAGTCAAATCAAATAGTTCACGGCCCAAAATCGAACTTTGCACTTTACGGACAAAAGCTAACATTTACCAGTTATTTTAACAATCTCATCTTAAAACTGTAAGTTTATTTTGTAGTTTGAAGTGGTGGAGAGTCATGCTTCGGCACGAATGGGTCGGCTCGACCGGAGTGATACCACGGCCTCACAGAAAACCGGCGTGAAACAACCACAGCGTTGTGTTGCCCAATCCCTAAATCTCCAAATCCCCAAAAGGTCGACGACGCACTCGTAAAAGTAATAAATAAATAAATGGAGATAAAATTAATTTAATGGAGATTTTTAATTACATATTTTTAATGTTATGTTTTAATAGCTTTTGCCCGCGACTCCGTTCGCGTGGAATAGTGACTATCTGCAGATTTTTCGTATAAAAACTATCCTATGTCCTTTCTCGAGTTCCAAACTATGTCTGTATCAAATTTCACGGAAATCGGTTCAGTAGTTTAGGCGTGAAGAAAAGACAGATAGACAGACAGAGCTGCTTTCACATTTATAATATTAGTATGGTCAAATTGTTGGTATGTCTTTTTGACTAAGAAATCTTCCCAAAAATAATGACTCAGTCAGAATCAGCTGCGATCTTTTTAACCGACTTCAAAAAAAGGAGGAGGTCCTCAATTCGTCTAGATCTTTTTTTAAGTACTCACATTCTAAGTTTACCTCGTGTTAACAATAATTTTATTAAAAAAACACAATTTTAACTCTATTATTGATTCTTGCGTACAGTCCAAGGTTGAATTCATAATTAGGTAAAGATGACACCTATACTAAACTCAAAACATACCTTATAACTACGCCTTAAAATTCACAGTCGAATAGCTACGTGAAATAAGTACCTACCTACCAATAAAAAATACGACTTTATAGCTTATAAGTTAAGTATGGTTTTCGTGTGACAAAATATTGTTGAATTTTTATGTATATTTAGAATGATATTTAAATAAAAAAAAGACTTTGGTATTGATTTAATACGAAAAGAAAAAAACTAGCTAATCAAAATAAGTTTTCAATATAGAAATAAACCTTGTGGTCTTTGAAATAAGTTCTAAATTACTTTAAACGTAGAAATTCTACACAAATATGTGCATCTCAGTAGATCCTTGTTGACTGGACATCTACACTACATGAGTTGCTGTTTACATGTGAACATTAGCTCATGACGATACCTAAGTACGTGTGTCGCCTGGACAGTCAACCTCGCTACATCCTTGTTGACTGGCATCTACACTACATGAGCTGCTGTTTACATGTGAACATTAGCTCATGACGATACCTAAGTTCGTGTGTCGCCTGGACAGTCAACCTCGCTACATCCTTGTTGACTGGACATCTACACTTCATGAGCTGCTGTTTACATGTGAACATTAGCTCAAGACGATACCTAAGTACGTGTGTCGCCTGGACAGTCAACCTCGCTACATCCTTGTTGCCTGGACATCTACACTACATGAGCTGCTGTTTACATGTGAACATTAGCTCATGACGATACCTAAGTACGTGTGTCGCCTGGACAGTCAACCTCGCTATATCCTTGTTGACTGGACATCTACACTACATTAGCTCATGACGATACCTAAGTACGCATCGCCGGGACAGTCCGCGCTACGTCTTAATTGACTGGATCCAAATGAGCTGCTGTTTACCCGTCCCATCTACTTTTAAACCTCAGGAAACCACAGCTTAACCTTGCTTATTCTTCACCAAACACAATAAATCAACGTTAGAAGTTCAAACATGACATAGGCAGAGGTCAAATCAAGATCAAATATTTAGTTTAAGATTCACACGAATGTAGGTAGTTAAGAATCCTTGGATTTGTTTGATAATGTAGATGTACTAAATGTGTTAAATATATGTGTAATTGAGTTTATTAGAAGTTCTTAAACTGGGAGGAAGGTGGTTCCGAAATGTATCTGCTTCCTCTACCGAAAAAAAAAAATATTGGTTTTTTGTGAGATGCGATCGGACACCAGCAACAAAGGAGGTTTGAGTATGTTAATGACCTTTAAGGGATCTTGGTTTTTGATTATTAGGGAAAGAATTGAGTCTCTAGTAACCTCACTCACGAAACAACGCTGTGGTTGTTTCACGCCGGTTTTCTGTGAGGCCGTGGTATCACTCCGGTCGAGCCGACCCATTCGTGCCGAAGCATGGCTCTCCCACACAAACGTTGCCGTTTTTTTTTTCACGTGTCTAACCATAAAATAACATATATTGATAAACTTGTACATATGTACATATAAAACATCCTTTTTCGCAAGAATTTTTTAAAAGAGAAGTGAAATTGCGCTTGTACAATTACTTAGCAGGCGACGTATGTATTTATGTATATTTGCATAAGTCAAGCACTGAATCTTGTATTGTATACATCTTATATAGTATAAAGACTCGAACGCAGCCTACGCTATAAGGGCCCTGTCACACTTTTTTAATTACGCTATATTTTATCGCAGTAGGTAACTTTAAAAAAAGTACCTTTTTTTAGAAAACCCTTATATGACGAAATTATAAAGCCATCCATCATTTCAAAGATGACTATTCAATAGTATTATTTAAATAAAAGATGTGTTTGACAAATCATATGTATATGTTATTCCAGACTATAATCTATCTCTGTGCCAAATTACATTCAGATCCGTTCAGTAGTGTTTACGTGAGAGAGTTACAAACATACCTACATCCGTACTTACAGACTTTCGCGTTTATTATATTACAAAGTAGGATTACAAAACAGCTGTCGTAAATCTGAAGTTTTGATTGATTCATTTGAAATTAATCATTTTATTTGTAACATTTTGAAATGTTGAGAAACTTTTCGTAATTAGTTCTAAAGATGCATAGATATTAACACGATTTTGGTCGCCGTTAGGGTAGTCAGAGATGCCTCAAAGAGACAATAGACCACTACAGATAGGGCCCAAGAGGTCTGATGTTCAGCCGGGGTTGCGGGTCAAGTGCAATAGGCAACCGCAAACTCGTCCTTGGGCAGGAGAAAGAACTGAGGTGTTTTAGTTTGTAAGAGTCTGACACTTTCTCTCTCCTTTACCAAATATTATTTTTATGTTATCAAACTATTTTCTGGACGCCTACTTTTTTAAACTTTCTTTTTCGGAACCTTTTCCTGGCAATAAAAAACAAGCGCTCAGCAAGTGACACATTAAAATGTGGCTAACTAGCCACACTTTTTCATATTTGTCTCTTTTTCACTCGCGATTATTGAATCATGCCATCCCACTTTAACTTGTATCATACGATTTATTCATGTGTGCATCAGTGTGCCGTTTCTGAAAATCGAATTTTGTTTAGGTAACCCATCTGACCCTTTGTACTTATAATATCGTTACCTTTATATATATATAATTCTGCTGTACGTGTATGTCATTGAACTTCTCTTTGAATTTTTCTGTACGCGTTTGAGTGGCGCCCTGAATGGTTTAGATTCACAAATCAGCCCGACAGATGGCGGTCATTGCTTGAAAAAGCATATGATCTCGGAAACGGCCCTAACGATTTCGCTGTTCGATATGTGGGAGTTTTTCGTATAATATAGGTATATTTTATTTCGTATAAATAGATGAAAATATAGAAAATTGAAAAGGAAAAATGTTACAAATGCCGACCGTATTTGGTTACATTTCCTCCTATAACTACGTGTGCAACGTCGGAAAGAAATAAATTAGTATAAATAAGCGATACTATAAATATATCGGCTAGCTTTAAGTGTGCAGCGAAGTTAACCTTCGAACAATAACTTTCGCTCAACCTTGCGCCCACGCACGCTTGTTTAGACAGCCTAGGACAACCTTATGACCTATTTCCAAGCCTTAGTCAGTAATACACACACTAAACCTTCTTAGTATTTTACATATCACAACTTCAGAAGTTAATATTAATCACTATGTTTGCTTTCGACAGATTGGCGATTTAATCTTTTTTATGGGATTACCTGATGGTAAGCAATCGGTGATCGGTGCCACGTATAGACATCCGACTCACCAAAAGAGTTACGTTACCAGGCTATTGGTGATTTGGGGTTTGGAGATTTGGGGATTAGGGGAATAAAGGATCTCTGCCACGGCGAAAAACAACGTTATTGTAGTTCCACGTCGGTTTTCTGTGAGGCCGTGGTATCACTCTGGTCGAGCCGACCCATTCGTGCCGAAGCATGGCTCTCCCACACTTAATGTAATAAGAAATTATAAGTCAAGGTTCTCTCACGTAGTTTCCTTTACCGTATTTGTACCTTAATTAATATAAGTCTTTGCTTCACGCCTAAACTAATTAAAAACTAATTTCTGTGAAATTTAGTAAAGACATAGTTTGGAACTCTAGAAAGGACATAGGATAGTTTTTATATAAAAAATCTGCAGGAAGTCACTATTCCACGCGAACGGAGTCGCGGGAAAAAGCTAGTCTTTACTAATATTATAAAGAGGTACAATTTGTAAGTTTGTGTGGGGGGTAATCTTTGGAACCGCTGGTCGGATTGCCAAATTCTTTCACTGATAGATAGATACAATGTTCCTGAGTGCTATAGGCTATGAAATATAACGCTACGATCAAATAGAGCCGAGCCAGTGAAACCGCGCGATAATAGCTATCATATGTACAAAAGGAATGCAACACAAAAAAAGTATTTTATTAGTTTGTAATTCGGAAAGGACTTTTTTCCGTGTTGTGTTCAGTATAGGTACGCGAAAGTGATTTTTTTATTGCATTTTAATGTTCACTGCAACGGTTATAACAACGAGAGTTAAGGACGAAAATAAACGCATTTTTTTAAACTTTCCTTTTTATCAGAGAAAGTTGTTTCTGCGTACATAACAATGCACCTTATATTCTACAAAGTTGTTGGCAGATGTTACACATATTTAGACTTATTGAGATGCCGTGTTGTCAGAAAATTTTGAATATAACTCTTAGAAAAAGAGGATTGATTTTATACCGCAGTTTTTTAAGAGAAATTAATCATAATGTTAAAATACTCTGTGGACCATAGACAAAACTTTTTGGTTTTGTTTTTTTTTGTTATTATTTTTTTAGATTTTTAGTATTATTTTATTTTCTTCTTTTTTTTTTGTATTTTTATTTTATGTGTGTGAGTTTGCGCGAAAATAAACGTTTTTCTTTCTTTCTTTCTTTCTAATTATAGATTGACTTGAGAGGGAGTGCCACACTTACTGACTCAAGACCTCCCCGTTCCTTCCACTGGAGGTAAATGCACGGCTTTGAAACTAGCAAATAAGTATCTAAAAATATAACTTCCCGAGTCATATGTAAGTACTTTCTAAATTTATTTAATATATGGTGAAGGAAAACATCGTGAGGAAACCTGGACTTATAATTTCTAGCAGTTTGAAATCGCCAATCCGCCTTGAGCAAGCGTGATGATCAATGCTCAAAACTTCTCCGTGTGAGAAGAGGCCTTTGCTCAGCAGTGGGCACTTATAGGCTGATGATGATATTTGCACAAAACTATAGGTTGTATTATAGTCAATTCTGACTTTAATGAACTCTCATACCATATAATATTATCCTAACACAAATCATTTCTGAAAAAGGTAATCATCGCTTTCATAACTCACGTAAGATCATCGATATAATAATAATCATTTTAATAGAAACACCGTGACTCATTTTAAATCGTCATAAAATAAACAAACGCTTATGAAGTTATACTACACTTTCAAATTTCATTTTCGACTTTATCGTAACAATCTAAGGTTTAATATCTATCGCGAAATTATCACAATTTCGTATACGTCGACCTGCTTTTGTTTCTTCGGTTCTGTTGTGTTTCGCCCACCAGACACCTACTTCTGTACTTGTTCTTTCCAAGGTTATTCAGTTAAGGTCATAAAAACTATTGATGTTCTTAAAATTAACATCTACACTACATGAGCTGCTGTTTACATGTGAACATTAGCTCATGACGATACCTAAGTACGTGTGTCGCCTGGACAGTCAACCTCGCTGCATCCTTGTTGACTGGACATCTACACTACATGAGCTGCTGTTTACATGTGAACATTAGCTCATGACGATACCTAAGTACGTGTGTCGCCTGGACAGTCAACCTCGCTACATCCTTGTTGACTGGACATCTACACTACATGAGCTGCTGTTTACATGTGAACATTAGCTCATGACGATACCTAAGTACGTGTGTCGCCTGGACAGTCAACCTCGCTGCATCCTTGTTGACTGGACATCTACACTACATGAGCTGCTGTTTACATGTGAACATTAGCTCATGACGATACCTAAGTACGTGTGTCGCCTGGACAGTCAACCTCGCTACATCCTTGTTGACTGGACATCTACACTACATGAGCTGCTGTTTACATGTGAACATTAGCTCATGACGATACCTAAGTACGTGTGTCGCCTGGACAGTCAACCTCGCTACATCCTTGTTGACTGGACATCTACACTACATGAGCTACTGTTTACATGTGAACATTAGCTCATGACGATACCTAAGTACGTGTGTCGCCTGGACAGTCAACCTCGCTACATCCTTGTTGACTGGACATCTACACTACATGAGCTACTGTTTACATGTGAACATTAGCTCATGACGATACCTAAGTACGTGTGTCGCCTGGACAGTCAACCTTGCTACATCCTTGTTGACTGGACATCTACACTACATGAGCTGCTGTTTACATGTGAACATTAGCTCATGACGATACCTAAGTACGTGTGTCGCCTGGACAGTCAACCTCGCTACATCCTTGTTGACTGGACATCTACACTACATGAGCTGTTGTTTACAATAATGAAATGTCAGGCTTAAGATGGGTAAAAAAATGGCGTAACATCTCCGAACAATTTATAATGTGCCTTTAAAATGAACAGGTTAAATTCTTATGTAACGAACTTGTTTCCGATACTTTAAACACATTTTTAACTGAGCTCCTTAAACCATCGATAGTTCTTATAATAAAAAAATGCGATCGTAAAATTAATATGCGTATAACTATTTCTTTATTATTTATTTAAATTTAATTGTTATTGATTTATTTTATGTTACCTACGTTATTTATGACGCGTAATAAAATGTTATTGTTTTGTTTTTTGTTATGCTTATTTTGTTTTTTTTTTTGTGCGTAATAAATGTTTTTTTTACAATTATTATTAGAAAGCCTACTTTTTCAAAATTTCTTTTGAAAGCTTTTGTTCTAGTTGCTAAGGACAAATATTTTCCTACTTATAATATTACCCTCACAAAAAAAAAACTCCATCGTAACCCAATCACAGAAACCGGTTACAATAAATTTCGAAAACCGAAAAATCCCAACAATATTACGATGTGACCTGTAACCTACGACCTTGCGGTCATCTGACACGTTTTCGACCGCTGAACCAAGCGTCACGGATAAAATCGCCATTTCTACGAATATTGGAATTTATGTGCCAATTTATGGTAATAGGTACCTACTTTTTTTAGGTCGGCAAACGAGCAGACGGATTACCTGATGGTAAGCAATTGGGGGCACTCACACTTACTATAAGTATTGCCAGAAATCGGTCCATATATTGGGCGTGATCCCTAATACACGAATCTAATCCATACTAATATTATAAAGAAGTAAAATTTCTAAGTTTGTATGCAGGGGGTAATCTTTGGAACCGCTGGTCGGATTGCAAAAATTCTTTCACTGATAGATAGCTACAATGTTCCTGAGTGCTGTAGGCTATAAAACTTCACACTATGATCAAATGGAGATGAACAGTGGGTGAAACCGCGCGAGAGTATTTAGTATAAGAATATATGTAGTATGTTTGTTATTCTTTCACGAAAAATCGGCTTAAACGATTCGGTTCAAATTTAGTATGTCCGGGGTAGCGGGGTAAGCGCAATGAGGCACTGCGGCCTCGGCCTAAAGTAGGAGAAGGAACGGGGAGGTTTTTAGTCAGTAAGAGTCTGACTCTCTCTATTGCCATACCCTGGCCGAGAGAAGTCATTCAACGATTTTCCTCTGACAAAAAAAATAATACTTTTTATCAATTGACCACGCCAGCAGTAGGTAAAATAATACGTGAACAGCCTACACTTACGTTACAAAGAGGATATAACAGGTTGACCTTCAAAACTAAAAATCTAAGCTACAGTTTAAAAACTGTGAATTTTAACCCCATGTCAGTGACAAACAAGGATTACGTAACACTCAATAAGTACACAGACAGACGACGCAACCACATTGTGTAACCCAAAGGTAAACGAGTAACCAGTATAAAACAAGTTTTGTATGCTACCAAATTCTTTACTGTCCATGTAAGTTTTATATAGTATGTTGAGCAGAAGCGTATATAGGTAGGCGATTCTCATTCGTATAACCGGGTTTATGAATGTGAAGGAGGATACAGTGGCATGGTCGAATATTAACTGGCTATTTCTGGACTAGGACATGAGAGAGGTTTGTTATAATCACCACACCTGGCAGACAGGTTGGGGATCGGTGTTAAAAAGGTATAGATTTGTCAAAAAGTATATATTTGATATGTATTTAAAATTTGGAATATTCTAATAATATATCGAGAATAATATGACTAAGTAAATATGTCTTAACTTCTGATTTGTATTTTAATATTATATGTCTCAACGGCGGGACATAGCTGAACTTATTATTATTATTTAAGACCTGTATTTATGATATATACCTATAGGCCACAATAAAGATGATTTGATTTGATTTGATTTGATGTGTGCTACTGGCCCGAACATCAGTTGAATGTCTAGAAATATTAATTAATTAAAAAAAAACTATTTCCTGGTATACCTATTATAAATTGCTTGAAAAAGGATTCATCAGTTCATGAGTTCATCGCGAACAGACAAAAACTAAAGCTGATAAACCCAATGATACAGTTGAACCGGGGTAATTACGGAGTCTGTGTTGTTACTGAGAATTTTGGAAAAATACCTTATGACATTTTGACCTCTTGCTCCAAAGGGCAACTTGTTAAAACTACCCGATGGTAATATTATTTTTTTATTATCGTTAAAAATATTATTATTTTTCTAGCTAATATATTACCATTTTTTTATTATGTCCTTTTAAATACCCTCCTTTTCCTTATAAACACGTTGCTTCATACTAGGATTTTCTCTCGTATGGATGTGTGTGGGGTGGGTGCATTTACAAACATTAAAGTTCACACACACAAGCCACGCAAACCAAAACAATTTGTGTTGTTTGTGTGTTGTTGTTTCGTCCGAGAATCGAACCTACACGTCAGCCACTACACCAACCATGTAGTCCACAAAAAAAATTTATTTACGACACAAAAAATTTAAAAATTGTTCGTTTCGATTTATTAAAACAAAAATAAGTTTTCACTTTTAACAAGATATTAAAACCTGTATTGTATACCTAACTACCTAAAAGTCTGGAAATACATTTAAAGTCTAGATAAATTGTCGATACTATGAATTTTTTAGACAGAATTCTAGACAAACTAGTTTTTTTTTCTAAAATAATAATTATGCAAATATAAGTAAAAGTGTCTTGAGGTAGTTGGCGATGTCGCCGAACTTATTAAACATATTTTTTCTTAAGATTTTTTTATTATTACTTTTGTTATATTACAAAAAAATTTTTACTTATTTATTTTTTGCAAAAAAGTGATAATCGATTTTTTGGAGTGTCCTTTTCTATTCTTGTTGATAATAATGTGTTTTTTTTGCCTAATAATAACATTTTTGTTATGTTAATGTAGGTAAATAATAGTTTTAAAATTATTTTTGTTTTTATTATTATTCAGACATTATAATGAGTATTTCACAATTGTAATAAGTTTGCTAAGACTTTGTTCTACTTAAGATTCAAGTGTGGAGTTTCTTGCTCGTTCTCCTCCGTAGAAATCTACACTTTGGAACGAGCAAATAGCTTCACTAAGAGGACAAAAACGGACAAATAGACATGCTTAAAGTTAAACCTCTTGAAAAAAATTCAGTTTGACGTTCAAAAGAGCCTACTGTGGTGTATTGGAAATAAGTAATTTTGAATTTGTTAGAAAACTTTTTTTCTTTTTGAAGGAGTGTCAGACTCTTACTGACTAAAAACCACCCGTTCCTCCTGCTACCCCGTAACACTGGATTCTCTTAGGAAGACGATGCTCAAGAATCTCTATCTATCTCTCTCTCTTTAGTGAATGGTCGCGAGACAGATATATTGCGCAATATTATCACTTCTTCTAATATATATACATAAACATATAATATGTATATATGTATATGAGTCACATAACATACTGATATTAGTGTCAATGTCACGTAGGAAGTTTTGGTGTCGACAGATGACTTAGTCTTAGTACGAGTATACTTAACTTTAAGACGATCGCCATGTTTGTGACGTTCGCCGCTGTGATTGGTCAGCTTCGAGTTGAACGACCAATCAGAGAGCTTAACGCGGATACTGTCGAGGTTTTTTTTTTAAAAAAATCGTTGCTCTAATGAAGGATTTTCTCCTGTGTCGTGGGTGCGTTTACTAATCTACTACATACTGTTACAAACATACAATTTCACATACACATCACACCCAGACCCGGAACAACAATTTGTGGATCACACAAGGAGTTGTTCCGTGCGGGAATCGAAGCCACTGTGTGACCCACAAATAGTTGTTCCTGGTCTGGGTGTCATGTGTATGTGACTGGGTGTAATGTATGTTTGTAACCGCACCCACGACACAGGAGAAAAGCCTAATATGGGGCAACGTATTTTTAAAAAAAGATAAAGATAAAGACATAAATTATTAAATAACGCTGTGGTTGTTTCACGCCGGTTTTCTATATACCGAAGGACAAATACTGTATGAGTTTCTGTCTGTATATATGTGTATTTTATAAGACTTATGAGTTACACATAAGATTGTGCTGTAACGCTAAATTTTGCAATGAAAATCCTATAATTAATTGATCAAACTCGAATCTGGGACAGTCCGTGATCTTGCAACCTCTAAGCCGTAACGCACGTGGTACGGTGTCATAATTCGTGACGCTAATAATGTTTGCACGCATGTGTGTTTGTGAAAACCTATCGCAGAAACTGCTGGTTCAATTTCGATGCGATTTCGGTGATGGATAGATGTGAATTTTAATTAGTATCATCTATGTCACGTAGTGGAATACGTTTGTATACCACCGGTTCTCTTCTCTTGGGTGTCTTAAACCTCGACTTAGTGACTTCACATAAGTAGCGCTCTCTGATGAAGCTGAACCTCTTACCAGCTAGCCAAGTTTGGTGATTATTACCTATTTTGTAGATTTGTATTTCGCCATGTAAATGAGGTTGTCGGGGACCCAATTCTTCTGCCCCTTCCCTAACCCTTAAATCTCCTTAACCCTATTCCCAAAAAGGCCAGTACGCTCTCGTAGCTCCCCCGGTATGGCCGTCCATGGACGGCACCGATTGCTTACCATCAGGTAATTATTAATGGAAATTCTCTATTTCAATTTACATTCATTAAGTTTCAAGAATTCATGATGATCATGATGATGATGATGACGTATACCTGCTTAACCCGGAGATCAAACCAGAGACCTCACGTTCGATAGTCACATAATGATATATGTAACTAACATATAATAAATTTAACTTCGAAAACGACATTGGCAGAACTTATACAAAATAAGACACCAAGGACATACTATTTACATAGAAACGCAATAAAAACACATTCCGGATTCTTGAGGGAAAAATCTTGATTTTTAAGTATATATATATGTATAAGAACATTATTAATATCTGTGTGATCATCCGTCCATTTAAATAAAATAACGCCCTGTATCTCTGGATGTCTGCACTACATGAGCTGCTGTTTACATGTGAACATTAGCTCATGACGATACCTAAGTACGTGTGTCGCCTGGACAGTCAACCTCGCTACATCCTTGTTGACTGGACATCTACACTACATGAGCTGCTGTTTACATGTGAACATTAGCTCATGACGATACCTAAGTACGTGTGTCGCCTGAACAGTCAACCTCGCTACATCCTTGTTGACTGGACATCTATACTACATGAGCTGCTGTTTACATGTGAACATTAGCTCATGACGATACCTAAGTACGTGTGTCGCCTGGACAGTCAACCTCGCTACATCCTTACATGAGCTGCTGTTCAAACACAGATTAAAATATAAAAATCCAATTAATCATTGGTTTTGCAGTAATGATTAATGTTATTTTTGAATGTTTCACTCGATATTAGTTATTAATTACAGGATATCTATAATTTATGATCGAAATATAACACCTGAATTTAAAATAAATTCGTTTATTTTGGTATTAATTTCATTAAAAATCATAGCGAAGACCTGTTTTTTTGGTTAATTAAAATATATTATTATAAACGTGTGTCAACCTGCCACTACCATCTGGT